GTAAGAGAATGGTCACGTTTCATTCTTCTATACATAGCTGTCCAATTTTTCCAGCACCATTTATTGAAGAGACTGTCTTTTTTCCACAGGATATTTTCTCCTGCTTTGTCGAAGATTATTTGACCATAGAGTTGAGGGTCCGTATCTGGACTCTCTACTCTGTTCTGTTGGTCTATGTGTCTGTTTTCGTGCCAGTACCATGCTGTCTTGAATACCTGACATTTTCAGGGTGGGAATTGTCAGTTGTCATTTTTCCCCCAAAAAGGTAAAATACATATGGGTCCAAGTCTGACTTATTCGAAGGTCTATTTTCTTTTTCTTTTTTTTTTTTTTTGAAGATTTTATTTATTTATTTGACAGAGAGAGAGATTACAAGTAGGCAGAGAGGCAGGCAGAGAGAGAGGGGAGGAAGCAGGCTCCCTGCAGAGCAGAGAGCCCAACGCGGGGCTTGATCCCAAGACCCTGGGACCATGACCTGAGCCGAAGGCAGAGGCTTTAACCCACTGGGCCACCCAGGCGCCCCTCGAAGGTCTATTTTCTGTACTTATTTGATAGATTGAGTAATGGACCTTTCTTCTTCTTTTGTCACTTCTGTATACTTCAAGAAGTACTCATGGTGTTGAGGATGTAGGTAAACCTTGCACACTTGCTCTGTTTGACACATTTCTTGGTCATCCCTCTGTATGAAAGACTTTAGAAACGGGAAGGCATTATACATTTGCCTTCAGCCCACGTCATGGACTTGGACAGACTCTCACACTGGTAGGATCACTCTGGGCGTGGGACCCCCAGAACCATCCTCAAAGCTTAGTCACTCACTAGGAGGATTTACAGAACTTGGGTTGTTTGATTCTCTCACAGAGTAAGAAGAAAAAACCTCATGAATATATACAGTTCTTGCCACAGAAGGATGTCCAAACACACCATGTTTCTCGAAGTAGGAAATTGACATCAACATGGACGCAGATTAATTTGAAAAACCGAACACGGGACTCCTGGCGGCTCAGATGGTCAGCGCGGACTCTTGGTTTCGGCGCGGGGCGTGATCTCAGGGTTGTGAGGTGACCCCTCGTCGGGCTGTGTGCTCAGCATGGAGTCTGCTGGGGTTCTCTTTCCCCGGCGGCCCTCCCCTGCTCGCACACTCTCTCTCTCTGAAACAAATAAATAAAATCTTTAACAGCAAGCAAACCGACCACCAGCTCTCAGAGGTCTTCTCTTAGAAGACACGTGCTCCTGTGCTGCACTTGGGGACAGCGCACAGCAGCTGTCTGTGGCATAAAGAGAGACTGCGACATGATATCAGGCGAAGCAGGCGGTGTGTGGGAAGTCATTTCGTGAGCCCCTGCGGGCGGCGGTGGGCGGGATGTGCTCCCCACCCATCCTGCGTCGTCTTCCCGTGGAGGAAGACTGTGGTCCTCGCTGTGGGAGAGTTTGCAGGAGATGCGGACACACGCTGTAGGGTCGGCCAACTGGTGCTTGAGTCCTCACTCTTACAACACTCGCTGTGTGACTATGGGTGACCTGACATCCCTGATCTTTCTGTATAAAATGGGACGACTAAGCCCTGCCTTGAAGACTTGTTGTAAAGATTGCAAACGACATCTGTGACAGCGCGGGGCCTCGGCCCTGGCAGGCGCTCCTTAAATAACGGGCAGCCCCTCTGCTGTCGCCCTCATTCTCTCTAGGCTTGTTCTAAGCCTTTTTTTTTTTTTTTTGAAAGATCTTATTTATTTATGACAGACAGAGATCACAAGTAGGCAGAGCAGTAGGCAGAGAGAGAGGGGGAAGCAGGCTCCCCGCTGAGTAGAGAGCCCGACACGGGACTTGATCCCAGGACCCTGGGACCACGACCCGAGCCGAAGGCAGAGGCCTTAACCCACTGAGCCACCCAGGTACCCCTTGTTCTAAGCCTTTAAGTTGGGGGTGGCGGTGCTGTCCTCTCACGGCGGTGCTGCAGACTCCAGGACACATCATATACAGGTAGGTCTGCCGGCCAGGGAGCACAGTGTGCTTACTTGAAGCAGTTTTATCCACATATACTTAAATGCTCAATAAATTGCATTTATTTCACAGACGAAAGGCAGTGAGTTCCGCTGGAAGTCAGTAGGAGATGAGAGGCAGAGATGTCTTATCAGAGAAATGAACACGGAGTGTAGTCGAACCCCAAGTCCTAAAGAAAGATGCCTGAGCACAGCTTCGGTCTGTGAACATGCGTGGTGGTTTCGGAGAACATCATCAGCGGATGGGGTTCGCCATCTGTGCTCCTGCAGACACGGGCTGCTCAGGGCTTGGGGTAGGGATATGGGGAGCCAAGGGTCTGTTGGGCGGCTTTGTGTGGGGTCAGTCCACTCTGCAGGGTGCACGGATCACTTCAGGCCGTGGGGACACGGCACTGTGCGCCGAGAGAAGTGCACTGTTGATCTAGGAGAACAACGCCTAGAGCTTTCCAGTCATGTTCTTAATGGGGTTTTCTACAGAAATTAAGTTGTCATTTCCTCTCTGTGCATTTTTGCAACTAATGTGCATTCGGTTTTGATGAATGAAATAAAGTATGTGATTACGTTTTCCCACCCGTGAAACGTGCTTAAAAATTGTAATTAATCTTTAAGATAATTTTGTAATGATGAATTTTACTCAGCAGGTAATTGATATTCTGCTGTGGTTTCTTTGAAGTCCTAACCGAATGGTAAACTAAGATCGACTGGTTCAGTCAGAACAACTGTGCTATTTCTCTGACTCATGGAAATACACGTCTTGTTGTACCTCTTGTGCCTTTATTTTTGTGTGCGGTAATAAACCTACTTAGGATGCAAAAGCTTAGCATTGAAGTTTCGATCTATTTTTTGCTATATAGGAGAAAGGGCCAGTTGAAGTATAAATAAAATGATTCTAGGATTAAAGCTTTTTACTTAATTTAGTGGGTTGAGTAAATCAGTTCCACTGAGTCAGTCGTAAATACCTAATATGTGTAAACAGTAGAAGTTACTGTTGCTTACGTATGTGAAAAGTGATATTTACAGAGGTACCCAAACCCCAATTTGAAGACTTCATTCATTCATTCATTTGCCCACTCATTCTGTTAATCAATGTTATTAACTGCCTTAGGTCTAGGTGCTAATGCCGAAAATAAGGCCAAGGTTTTGAGAGGAAATGTTGAGATCAGAAATAGCCTGGGGTTGCCCGTGGCCAGGTGACTGGTCGTCGCTCCTCCCCGAGACAGAGGAGTGAGTCAGCACATGCAGTGCGCGTTGGGTGCTAGATTCTGGGTGCCCTAGAGAGGATGTTCCCTTCTGAAGGCTTTCACACTCACGGCAGGGAAGAAGGTGGTGAGTTGGCGGGAGGAAGCGCGGGGCAGTGTGTTGGCAGACTTCCTAGGCCGGCGCTGCCGAGCGGCTGGGCAGGTTCAGCCGCCGCTGGCGGCCCGGCGTGAGCAGAGCTCGTCCTACGCGCGGGTTTCTCTAGTCGCTCAGCAGTCAGCGCGGCGAGGAGGCGGCCGGCCCGTTTCGGCAGGCGCTGTTTTTGTCAGGCAGTTAAAATAAAGGGCTAATGAGAGACTGGGAAGTCGGGGGTCGTTGTCGGGGAAGGTCACGATGATGACATCCGTGGTGTAAGGTGGACAGAGTTTATCGGGGGTTAGAAGTCTTTTGAGCAAGTGAGCTGACAGCTCGGAGGTAGAAGCTGAAGAGCAGGGTCTTTGGAATTTTGTTCTAGGGCAGAGGTTATCACGCCTTTTCTGTGAAGGGCCCGAGAGTAAATACTTCAGATTTGAGCACTAAGAGACAAGATCGAGGATGTCTGAAGTCCTTCCATAATACGGGACAAGACAGGTTTGCACGGAATGTTGTATTGCCGAATTGTACTACAGGAATGGAGTGTGGTCTCCGTGACGCGGTGCTGCTGTGGGGAATGACGGACCTCCTTGGGAGCGGCCACACGTCCCCAACTGTGGCTCCGACTGTGGCTCAGAGTGGCGCTCCCTGTGGCCAGGTCTGTTGCGTGTGTTGCTCCCTTAATGCTGTTCGAGAAGGAGGTCCAGGGTGTTTCATCTTGGGAGTGTCTTCTTCCTGTCACACGCTCTCAGGCCGGCCAGCAGTGCGCCACTCACCATCACCGCGCACAGCCGTTCCTCAGAAGGTGCTTGTGGACTTCTTCTGGATTCTTCTCTTTTTTCCAATTCAAATTCAATTTAATTAACATAAAGGGTCTTACTAGTTTCAGAGGTAGAATTTAGTGAGTCATCAGTCGCTTGTAACCCTGGTCGGTGCCCATTCCAAGAGTCTCCTCGTTATATTGGATTTTACACGTGTTGTGACCTTGCAGATTACTCACATACAGGTGGTGGTGAGGTGGGACGTGTTAGTTGCAGAGTTACACGGGTTTGGAAATATGTAAATTTTCTTTGCCCTTGCCATGGGGGTCCAAAGGATGCTGGGGGGACTGTAGTTTGAGTTGAGAAAATACATTCACTGAGGATTTGTTTGGAACTGGAGATCTTCCTGCTTTCCCTTGTGACAGCGTGGTGGGGCGCAGTGTCTAAAGCTGCTTGCGATTCAGGTGACGTTGTTGCTTCTTTTTTTTTTTTTTTTTTTTTTTTTTAAAGATTTTGTTTATTTTGACAGAAATCACAGGTAGGCAGAGAGGCAGGCAGAGAGAGGAAAGGAAGCAGGCTCCCCGCTGAGCAGAGAGCCCGATGTGGGGCTTGATCCCAGGACCACGGGATCATGACCTGAGCCGAAGGCAGAGGCTTTAACCCACTGAGCCACCCAGGTGCCCCATTGCTTCTTAAAGTTTAAGTGCTCTCGGATTATATGAGTTCCCAGTAAGTCCATTTTATTTCCGTAGCTGTTTTTGGTGTTACTCATTTTTATATCCAACGTCTAGTACAATTATTGGCCCAGTGTCTGGTGGATGTGAGCGGCACCCTGGAAGCAGTCGTGGAATGAGCAACTCTGCTGTGTGCCCTGCTAACGCAGCACTGTCTCCCCGTTCTTCTATTGCAGGTCAAGAGCGACTACATGTCAGAGGTAGCTGACCGTGTGGACCAGGACATTGCTCTGAAGCTGGGCTGTCTGGAAATCCGGTAAGGTGCTAACTGGGCGTTGAGGGCTTTGCTGCTCTGAGGCGTTCTTTAGTTTGGGAAATTATCCAGGTATTTTCCTTTTCCTTATAAAGATTATTCATAAAATACTGAATAAAATTTGAGTAAAAATTGGAGATTTTGAATTAGGTTGTCAGTGTAACTTTTAGAAATCTTAGGATCTTTTAAAATGATATTTCATTGCATTTAGAGCTGGAATGACTGATGAGCGTGCACATGTGTGAGCAGGTCTGAAAGCGCTCCTCGGTAGTCTCCTGGGGGTCATGGAAGTGACCTGTGTCACTGGGTCCCAGGTGCTAGTCACGCGCCACAGGCGGGGACCGAGGAGTTCAGTGCGCTAGCGCACACCATTTAAACGGAAGCACAAATAGCCACATGCGGCTAGTGGCTGCCGTGTCGCAGGTTACGGGAAAAGGAAATCTGAGAATGTCGTTCGTAATTCTGATAATATTTGTCACCATGTGTCATATGTTATCTTCTATGCTAGCATTTTAATTTTGAATAGAAGAGTATTTTACCTTTTTCGGGTGTGATTTCAATTAAAATTTACTCTGGGCTTCTAGTTTAAGATGAGTTGGTTAAGCTGCCACAGTTTGATTATGTTTGCTCGGAACAATTAGAATTTCCCCCCAAGGTCACTATTTTTTATACTGCACGAGGCTGTTACATACCAGTCCCTACAAGGACCCGAGGGCAGTTAGGGTGTCATTCTCAACTCTTCATTAAAATTCGTGTTCAGTCTTAATTCTGTTTCCCAGGAACAGAAATCATCCCTCACTGGTCTCTTCTGTTCCTGTCCTGCCCTTGAGCCCTCACAGCTCTAGGCAGAAAGCATCCTTGGCCGCCCCTTTCTGCCTCCAGACAGTGCTGCATGGGGTTATCTGGAGATGGGGTCAGAAAGCACGAGGTGTTGGGCGAGAGGCACTGGGACCACCTGGGTTCTCGGTAGCTTTCCTGATCCTTCCCACACGGGCCTCCCGTGCTGTGTTTATCCCTCTCTCTGCCCCATGCAGTGTCCCTGACTTCATTGTGAAGTGAAGGGCCGCAGGAGAAGCCTGACGGTGCAGCCTCCCCCTGCAGGCCCCTCCTTCACCCCCCTGCCCCCGCATGGGGAGAAAGTCAGAAAACCAAACTGAGGGACCCTTCAGGGGCTCTCTGTAGTTTTTTAATCTAAATCTATTACTTGCATTTTGAGTAGACCAAAGAAAAAGCCAAACAAATGTAAAAAGCAAAGCCAGTATTTATAGTATTAGAGACAGGTTTGAAACGGAGTCTCGTCCTCCTGTTATGTGACTTGAGACGACGAGTCCTACCCGTGTGTCCCAAAGCAGCTCCAGCGGGAAGTGTCCTTCTGCCAGGTACCGTGTATGTGCAGAGAGAATCCGGCCCACGCGTGGCAGGTTCTGTAGAGAGAGGACCTGGCTCCCGCAGGGCCCCACTTGGCTTGACTGGGTAGTGTGGAGTGCAGGGGAAGGCCAGACGACGAACATTCAGAGTGGTGGACAGCGCTGCCCAGGCCGGAGCTTGCCTCCTCCCTGCACAGCCTGCCCTGATGATTCTGTCACACGTCCGTGTACTTGCCCTTGGTGACACGCGGCCCTGCAGGAGTCAGTGTACTTGCTGCTCGCCTGGAGGAGGCTGGTGTTCCCGCAGCCATCCTGCTCGTGCAGGCTCTCACTGAGAGACGAGCCCAGCGGCCAGCAGTGGTAGCTAAGCTCCTTACACCTGGAGTCTTTGTCTCCTCCTCACAGAGAGCCACACCTGATTCACACTCAAGGAGAAAGCAAGCTCGTCCAATAGGACGGAGCCTGTGTTCACCGCTTTCTGCCTCCCAGGGGCTTGGGAGTCACCGCTGGGGTCAGGTTCGTGTTGTTTACGGCACAGCAGGGTGTCTGTGGCCAAGCCGCGGCGCTGTTTCCGCTGAGCAGCACGGACGCTCCTTACACGTGTGTGTGAATGTGTGTCTTCCCTGGTTATAGGCGCTCATACTGGGAGATGCGAGGCAACGCGCTCGAGAAGAAGTCCAACTACGAAGTGTTGGAGTAAGTACCCCCGCCCCACCGCGCCGCGCGCCCAGCAATAGGCCAGCCTTCAGGCCGTGGGGTTAGTTTGCCCAGAGTTAAATCCCAAACCCAAACACTGCCATTTCCGGAACAGCCGCATCTGGGAGAAGGAAGGTTTTAGAAGCAAAGAATTCCAACGACAGTAACTGCGCGCGCAGACGTTTCCACTTGTTGGCGAGCGCCTTTGGGCTAATCGTGTGGCGTCAGCACGGACTGCCGCCTCAGCTTTAATCATGTCGGGAGGAAGTGTCTCTTCCAGTTGGCGTGGGATGCAGAACTGCCGATTCCGTTCCTCCTCTGACGTTGCTGGGGGTTTCCACGGGTGGAGACGTGTGAATCACTTGTTGCTTATGGAATAGGTTGTTTAGAAAAACAAAGTTTTTTGGATCGTGGAATGAGTTCGTGTATTAGAGTTTTCCATCAGGTTGTCTTAACAGTGCATAGCAGCACGCTGGCGCTTCTGTGCGGGGAGGCGAAGTTCCGTACTGCGCCGTTGATGATTCATGCAGCAAGAGCGTTGATCTCTAAGTCCCAGTAAAGGTCCGCTGTAGTTTCCTTAGGAATAGTGGCATATCTGGCCAACACTTACCTTTTCTGGCTGTACTATTACTGAACTCCTGGTGGCTTTTGGGAGGTATAAAGTAAACTGGGGAAATAAAGTAAAAGGTACCTGTCACCACTGTGCTGTGAGAGCGGCTTTGGCTGCAGATCACGCCAGAGTCACGTTCCGTAGAATGAGTCCTGCCCTTCAGAGGATGGTGTCGAAGTCGTGAAGCCACTAACCATCGAGACAGAAACCACCAGCACTCACTGGGGCATAGATTCTCTTCATGACTGTCGCATTCTTCACCTGCTGGACTTGGTGCTCAGACACACATCACCGGCATTGAGGAGATCGTTGAAGATCTTGTCTTGGGTGTCGCTGGGCTTGTCCTCAGTTCAAATGGAGGTTCAGGATAACAGGAGGAGTTTTACCTGTTTGGTTATTTGGTGAATTATCTGTTCCTTTGTCCATTGGTTTCTTTACTCATTCGTTCACTTAACGGACGTTACTGAGCGTGTGCCGAGCTGCTGGCAGCCCAGTGCTGGGTATTCAGAAATTAATAATCCAAAACACTCACCCTCAGGAAGCTTCCAGCGAGCAGGGAGACTCAGCTGGGTGAGCAGGGCTGTAGAACAGTGTGCCCAGGGGCTGAAGTAGAGGTGCCTGGGGGCGGGGGGCTGTCGGGAGCACGGTCCTTGATGTCCGAGGTGATTTCAGGGGGGGACGAGGTCTCCCCGAGTCTCAAAGAAAGCATGTGGGCAGGTGGGGGGAGCTGCCGGGGAAGAGGGATGAGACTTTGAAGGCACCGAGACACGGAAGTTCAGGTAGCAGCTAGAAAACTGTCCATGCATTGTGAAGGCCATGTCGGCAACAGCCCACTGCTCTCCAGGAGCCTCTGGTCCTTGGCCGTGGCTGACTCCTGGGCCATCCGCAACAGGACAGTGGTGTGAGGAGCTCTGCGATTGAGAGCGCCTATGTTCACAGAACTGGGGTTTTATTAAAGAAGGCTGGAAAAGGGAAGCAGGGAACCAGGACACCCCTGCGTCCCTCCTGCCCACTCGAGAAGGGGCGAGGCTGTGTCGTGGGCACGGCAGCATTGGCAGCGAGTGGGGTGGCGGTGGCTGAGCTGGGGTCTGTGGGCCGGCTGGCTGCTGAGACTTGTGTTCTGTCCTGGGCCACCAGGGATTCCGCTCACAGGAAGAGTTTCTGTTGGACAGGGAACCGGAGAAGTTGTTGGAGCCTGTTGATTTTCAGTTCTGAGGGAACAAGCATGTTTTTTCAATGAAAAGGAAGGAGAAATGTGGATTTATTTTATGTTTTAAAATCGCTCATACCAGTAGCATTAAAATCTTCCGTGGTCCCCCGTGCCTGGTTTCTAATGTCGTTCATCAGTGAAAGGAACCAGGGCTCCTTTGAAAAATGCCTGATGCTGGGGGTGGGGGGAAAGGGGTACAGGAGGGGCCTGTGCATCTTGGTGCCAGAAGGGAGGAAGTGCTCGGTCAACGTGGGGCGAGAGCACCTGAAGTGCCTAAAGCTGGAATCATTTGAGCTACAAAGTGAGCGAGTAGTTTTAGATTAGAACCCGGAGTGTAGAGCAGATACCCGGGAGGCCCTCCTCGTACACATGAGCGAACACGTGAGAAGTGACAGATCTCCCCTACAGAAGAATTCGAAGTAATTTATGTAGATGTGACCACGAGGAGGGCAGAGCTTAAAATGCCACCTTAAAGGATGGGCTGTACTTGGAGACTTGTACAGGACTGTGTTGGGGGAGGGAGTCAGCGGGCAGTGAAGAAACCTGGCCAGCACCACCTGAGCTAGATGAGCAAGGTCGGCCTCAGCAGTGACAGGCCACACCCGGGCCAGGTGCCCTGGCTGGGGTCAGTGGAGAAGGCCACTTCACCTCTGGCGGCTTCCTCTCCTGTGCCCGTAAGCCCAGTCTCATCATGCGGAAGCACAGATAATTCCTCGTCGAGGGACATTATTCACAATACCAAACCAGTGCGCCTTCAAACTGTCAAGATGGTCCGAAACAAGGAAAACCTGAGAAGCTGATGGAGCTGAGAAGAGCTTGTGGAGCCATGATGACGAAGTTGGATTCTGAACCAAAAATGATGTAGAAGAAGTGATGAAATGTGAATGAAGTACAGACTGTTTCTGATAACAAGTCAGTGTTGCGGTAGGAATTGCGGCTGACATGCCTTGCATGATGGGGACTAGGAGTGGGAGGGGCCTGGGCGTGGGGCACCCGTGGGCCTCTCTACTACGTTTCCAGCATCTCTGGGCAGCTGAGACTATGCTACCATAGTCTGTCTCCATTTAAAGAGAAATGATATGGGAATGGAGCTGAAAAGCCAGTGCGGAGATAGAGGTGACGATCTCGAGAGTTCCAGCCCGTGGTGGGCAGTTCCATGAAGTCCCAGAAAGACCTGGGTGATACGTCACCTGGCAGTTAGCGACAGGACGCCAGAACACCTGTTGGCGTCCTTCGGGTCACCGTGAAAGCCTGTCCTGTTGCCGTGAACTGTATCCTGCCCTGTCCCTGCAGGGCCACAGCAGGAGCTGCAGTGTCACAGGGTAGAAGGAGCCGGGCGTGTGGTAAATACTAAAAAAGGACACAGAGCCAGAGGACAGCAGGGGCCCAAATAAGACCTACATGCGCCACGCACTGACGTGTTTGTGGCAGCAGGACAGAAGCAGGGATCCTTCAGGGTGGGGGTGGGGGTATGTTTGGAGAGAGGAGTTTTCAGGTTAAGCCCTGGCCGGCTCAGTCGCTAGAGCGTGCTGCTGTCGATCTCTGGGTCGCGAGTTTGAGCCCCACGCTGGGTGTGGAATCTACTTAAAAAAATTAATAAATTTAATTAAAAAAGAAAAGATCTGTTTGAGGTGAAAGACAAAGGTTACATCAGAATTGGTGTAAATTTGGCTTATTTCTAGGGAATACGGAAATTGAGGCGATGGGAGAGGAGGTGGGGGGCAGAGGACAGACCTAGGCACTAATGGGTGGGGGTCAGTGAAGTGGAGAAGGTGGGGGTTACTGTGCACAGGGGAGGGCCCGTGTTATGGGAGAAATGGGTGCAGGGTGGTGTCACCACAGGCCCTCTCGGGGGTGTGGGGGGGAGGCTGAGTTACCTGTAGTCTGGAGGCGGCTGTTGTGTGTTCTTACGTAGGTGTGCTGTGTGAGTCAGACAGACGTGCGACAGAAGGAAAAGGAGTGGGTTCAAGAGGCTTACGGTCCCGGCTGTGACTGTGCTGGGTCTGCCCTGCCCGTTCTCCACCCGCCCCCCAGGGGTTCTGTGTAGCTGCGGATGTTGTGTGACTGACCTCTCGCCGCAGAGTGTCTGGTGTGGGTCCTGCTTCCACTGTGTCCCGTTCCCGGTGTGTGCTTCCAGGGCCACAGAGTGAGGGCGGTGCTGATGCCTGCCTCGGTGTGCGGGGTCAGGGAGGCGACCACATCGAGGGCCGAACGCAGTGCGGGCCCCGAGTGAGCCTCTGCCCTTGTTCCCCTTGTGATCGGGTCCAGAGGAGAGCTTGTCCCTCGCACTGAAAACCAAACTGCGTAGTGTTACTTCACAGTGTTCGTAAGAGAAAAGCATATAAAGGAATGTCAGAGTTCATCTGTTAACTTAATCTTGAACCTTTTCAAATCATTTTCATTAGTTTACAAGGTAGTAATACATTCTAGCTGAGAAAATTGGGACAGAATCATCCGGTAAGATGGAACTCCCATCGGTTTGTGCTCACCACCGTCAGTCGTACTGTCTTCAGGAACAGCCTTGCAGCCCCTCCCCTTGCGTTCCACGTGTGCGCAGGTGGCAGGGCCGGGCCGGGCAGGGCTCGGCGTGAGGTCGTGACTGTGAGCGTGCAGCCCGCGGCCTCCCGTGGGCCTGGTTCCGGGAGCCGTTGGCGCTGAGCGCGTGGCCGCCGTCAGATCCGGGGGCGTGCTGCGTGTCACCAGTCCGCGCGGGGACGCTCTGGCCCGTGACAGCATGAGGCGGCGCCACCGTGTTTCCTTGTTGGTTTTTGCCTGGTGACCAACGAATGACAGCTTGTTCTGTTTGCTTTCGCTTGATTACAGTTGCTATTGAAGACCTGCCCGTGTGCGGGCCGCCATACAGATTCCTTTTTTAAATTTGGCTGGATTTTTTTATAGTTTTTACATCTATTTATGTTTTTCCTTGTTAATATTATGAGGTTTTTGTCATATTAACTATGTTTGTCGTATTTGTTCTGTATGTTCTTCCCAACTGGTCTTTGTCCACTGTGACTATACGGCCCATCATCACCTAGGACTTGTTCTTTCTTTCTTGTCATTTTTTTTTTTAATGTAGTAAAATCTGCCAGTTATTTTCATTTTAGTTAAGAGTTTCAAGACCTGTTTGTTCTCAAACTTTTGTGGAGTTATTTCTATTTTCTCATCTCCAAAGATGCAGAT